CACACCTATGATGGAAACTAATAATGAGGAAGAAAGAACGTTGGATTCTAGCTAGGCGTATCAGCGGAACAAGGGAACCCTGAACTGTCGGCCCAAAAGCGGCCACCTGGGAACGTTTTTTTCTGTACACTCATCAATTTTGTGTTCAATTCAATCCAATTCAGTCAATTCAGTTCCTAATTTGATGGTTACGATGGTAACCATCCTCATCTGACCTAAAGTGCAGCTATACTTGTTAAAAGATGATGATACAACGGAAACCTATCAGGCACCCCGGGATGGTGCATCGATAGTGGCTCAGTGGCGGAAATACAATTCCATTTAAACCGAAGCAGGATCGATTTCTTATTCAAAACAATTCTGGCATCTGTCTTGCTGGAATTGCTTGATGGGATTGTGCTGCTTAGAGTTGCGAAAGTGCTAGTCTGAGCACCATTCACTCAAAGCATTGCACTGTTTTCGGTCCCAAGTGAGGGAGATCGCAGTGATTTGAGGAGTAAGGAGGGATATGCACTTCAGTTGTCCCCTCCCCCTATTTCTGTGATCGGAATCGGAATGTGTTTCACGTCTGATTAGCTCCAAATGTCATCACCCACTTCCAGTATAACCTCGAATATGAGTACATTCAATCACTGTCATGACTACTAGGGCAAGCAAGGTGCACGGCTTCCTACAGTTAATATGAGGTGCTGATCGATGCACGATCGATCCCAAATGAATTACGGGCTCTGACACTAACTGAGAGATCGTCCAAGTGTCACGTTCCATTAAAATGATGTTGTTTGGTATGAGCAAGCTCTGCAAGCTTCTTCCTGGTGTCGGGTGTTCTCTACACATTCCAATTTGTGACTAACAATGAGGCTTGGGGACCCCCACACCAAGTAAATATCATTGATTAGGCTTTGATTGGAGGAAAGGGAATAAACTAAACCACCACAATGATTACCTTCTAAGACTTCCATTAGAAGCTGCTGGAAGCCGACCCCATGACCCCAATGGCGTTTGGGGAAAATGATCCTTGTCATAGGTCTTAATTCCTAGCAAATCTCATATATCTCAAATCGCAACAAATCCTATTAGTGTCAAGTGGGAACGGATTAGCAGTGGAAGCTACTAAGGGTAGAAAGGTGGACAGAAAACAGAGATCTAGTGTCCTAGGGAGCATGATCTCATGTTCTTCCGTAGCTGTGAGAACAAAGGTGAACGGATGACGCAGATGATAGTCGTCAATCCACTCGCAACACTGAGTCAGAGGATTTCTTACGTCTTCTACTCGCTAACTCGCTAGGGATTTGTCCTGTCACGCAAGATATGTACCGAGCAACGAAAAGTGAACTAAACAGTGGGCCTTGAAGAGGACCAGTCAGGGGGATGTGTAGGGGGTGGCCTAAGCTGCCACTACACCATCTCCGCCCAGCCTTCTCGCTGAAGGAGCAACTTGGGAATGAGGTTCAAAATGCAGTTCCTCAAATCGGTCTATTTTATCCTTCGGAATTCAAGATTCTCGAATCACCTGGGTGCCCTCCCCTCTTGGCTATTTCCATGCTGGAAGATCATCTGTTCATGAACCAGGGTATTAGTATGCAGAGCATAGGAGAGTAACATCGTACTTGTTGTTTTTCCATTCAAAGTTTTCTTCATTGATGCCACACACATACACACAGTTGTCGTCACTTTCCTTTAGCCACTAAAGGGGCGGGACTTTGGCGGGACTGGCAGCCCATTATTTCATTCCGCCTCAGGCTACATACGGCCAGCGGCACACACACGTACGCGGTACCCATGCACGGCTACAGTATTGTTCGGCTACTGCTTGTACTACTTGCTGCCGTCTGCATATTTGCAGGTGAGTGGGTGGGCATTTTAATCGCCATAGCTCTTTTATAGATAATCTTTGATCATCCTTTTACCACAATTCTAGCCGTTACCACCACTAATGGAAGGTGTCTTTCCCACGCTTATCAATTCCCAAGTATTTTGTCACAGTAATGAGTTGTGTAGCTGTTTCCCTATTCCAATGCCAGCCTACTAGCCTACCACCATAACAACAGAATTAGGTGTTCGAGGGAAGAAATAAGGAATCGGATGAGCTCTCCCCATTACGTGCCTGTAGCATTGAATCGTAGACCTTTGAGAAAGAAAGGTGATTCAGGGGGATAGCAGTTTATATTAAGAATCCTAGATCGAAAGAAAGAAGAGCAGTCCTGGAATTAAAAGTTCATGCTGACAATACCATTCAATTGATGACGTCCTGAATGGGACCAAAAAAGTAGGCCTGTATCATCACAAAGGCCTAAATCAGCTGGCAAACAACGATGAAACAGGGCTCGAATAAAAGCTCTTTGATGAACGCTGAACGTTAAATGCAATTTGTTTCACCTTCCATTCGGAACCATTACGGTGTGTTGCAAAAGAGGGTTCAAAAACCGCCTGAAAAGTCGAGCTGATAGCCACGCTCTGAAGAAAATGAGGGGCCCACATAGAGGGACTGCTAGCCGTTCTTGACGGCATTCCTTTTAGTCAAAAACAGGATTTTTTAAAGCCCTCATTTGTGGTGTTCATGGCCTAGCCGCCCCTCAGTACTTCAGACCCTACAGGGGTACGGGCTGAGTACAAGCCTTCGAAATCCTCCAAAGTAAGGTCGGACATAATAGGCAGTCTGCTGACGGCTGGAGGTTCAGGTTTAGAAGGTAATACTGCGACTGATCTCTGCGGATCCCTGATCCCCCAGACGGGTGGAGTACAATTGCCTACTGGCAACACCTGAGAGTCCATTTTCAGGGCAGAGGGTCAAAGTAAGTGGTGGGTGTAAGTAGAAGCTCGTAGAAGGTAGCAGTCGGCGTAGGAAGTACCAAAAAAGTGGCTTGCATGGCTCAACGTCGGCATATTGTCAAGTATGATCGACGTACTAATAACGTACTTTGCTTGGTCATCCGTCGACGTCATGGTGAGTATGACCTTGGTCTAAGACTTTAGGGGTCCAGGGCTCATCCCGAAGACAGTTCGGTCATCTGAAGAGAAGCGGTTCGTTATCCCAATGGGGATATGTGAAAGCTAAACGGCGATGTCCATGACTTACTATTAAGACCTTTGGCCATGTTCATAGGTAAAAACATAATTTTTTCTGTAACCATGCTTTCGACGCCCTTACTTTTTTCATTTTATTACTTCTTTCCAATATTTACAACCCATCATCCATAAAAAGATTCTTTTCTGTTTCAGAAATCGAAGACATCACCGACGACTCCAAATACTTCGTTCCATGTAAGCAAATCTTCTCTTAATATTTTCTAAGTGGTCCTTTCTCAGATGTGCTCCTCCCACAAATGGCACCCACTAAAATGGCTGAGTGAATCATTCATTCACTTTCCTTGGTTCACTTAAAGGCTCAGGCGGTAGAGAAATTTATTGACAGCTCGTATCATCAATCACTTCGCTTTTCGAGAGAGGCTGAAAGATTTCGAGGTGCAGGTGAAAATAGCCTTAGAAATATGACCATCCCTGCAATAAATCTTCCAATTCACGTTAGGAAACCTTCAAATCGTTCATACATAATGCTAGTGGCATTGATGTTGAAACGTTCGGCAAGACATTTTCCATGGGGTTCTGAGGGTTTGAGAAATGTCCTCTTTTTTTCCTTTTCATCGCGATTTCATGAAAAATGTTCCTCGTTCATAGCTGGAACACAAGCAATGAATCATATCGTGTTAAGGTCAACACAAATACTCGACCGCTTCGCTGCAAATTTTCAAGCGAGTGAATTTTACTGACCTCATGTGAAGGTTATGGGGTTTATTTATGGGATTTATCTGATACCATACATAAGAGCGTGAAGAAATGACGGGGTTGAGAGTAGGAACTCTTCCTCTCAATCCATCCGAAAACTGAGGGTGTCTGAAGCCTTCAGCCTGCCCCTCTGTTGGATCTACCGCCATGTTCCTATCAAACCAAAGCTCATGTTCAGATTGACAACCCTCTTTCCCTTCTCTTTTCTCAGGCCAACCAAGCCTTTCATCCCTCTGAGGCAAGTCAACTGGTATCGGACTTGTGGGGGTATATAAACACTTAATTGTCAATGGTGTGCTTTCTTTAAGTCATTGAATAGACCAAACACCCATTCAAATGATCCCATGGTTCTGAATAGAAGTCGAGCGCATGGCAACACTTTCAAAACAAAAGTGATCACCATCAAAAAAGAACTCGCTAGGTGCCACGTTAACGAGTTTATTGAGGATTCAATCAAGTGCATTGGGTGCTCTTTGCCTTCACCATACAAAGGGAGACCTATTATGTTACTTGCATGATCCATACGCTTCCTCTAAACGAAGCATGACGGCAGTTATCGACTTTGGCTTTGAAGCATGACTAGTTCTTCTTTAGTAACCAGTAAGCCACAGATAATCCATCACTGATGACCTCTAAGAGGAAAGTAATTTGGTGTATCTCTGAGAGGATGAGAGACGGAGCTACATCAAGCCTTTTATCCCAGAAATCGCTCACGCAGCTCTTCGAATGACCTCCCTGAGGTGGAGCGAGGCGTTGACGACAAATCCGCTAGTCCATCGAATCAGCTAATGCTAAGCCTACTTGGACGGCTGACCACTAAGCTCATCCCGTAATTAACTCTGAGTATTAAGAAGTTAGCTGCTGCCTGGTCAATCTTGTACTACTTGGCAGATTAACTAAGGGCTACCACGGTGTAACAGTCCTTGGTCGATCTTGACATCTTAACTATTTAGAATGTCATATGTGGGGAAGGGGGAGCAGAGCACGTGGGGATGACTTACACATAATCCCTTCATGAGAGCAATAATTGTTTGTATGCACTCGGGGCTTTGAAAAAAAGGTCATACGATGTTCGAATAAATACTTCCATCCTCCTAAAATAAACTTTTCCCGGAACTTTTCCCAAATAGATTAAAAGAGCACCAATTGGTGCATGTGGGTCATCATCAACATCGTGGAGCATCATCTGGGAATCGATTTTTACCTGAAACGAAAGTCTGCCTAGAGCTAAGAATATACTGTATCTGATTTCAGACCTGAAGAAGGCTGGTCCACAAGGTCCGCTTCGTTTCGGTAAGCGACGCGGTCCATCGGGTCCATTACGTTTCGGCAAACGCTCCACATTCGACTATCCAACGGTTTTTGATCAACAACCCTACTACTACTTTGTGTAGATGGGGCCGCCGTCACCACCATCACCACCATCTACGACGACATCTCATTGTTATGGAATGAAACATCCTCAAGTCGCCAATCGCCTGCTCGACATCACTTTTACTTCAGCGTACTGTTTTCCTTAGTGATCATTCCCCGATGGCGATTTGACTCGGTCGTTGACTACTTTGTAGCAAATAAATTATATTTGATTATGATGTTTTACATATCGATCGGTAATCGATTTTTTATGGCGTAGGCTTTTTTGAAGTTGAGCACAGCGCTATCCTAAAACCAAAGAAAGCTATAAAAAAATAATGACCTAGCTGCTCTAGAGCACTTCAGTAGGTTTGATGACCGCTGTTTGTCCTTGTCGAACAACCCCTTTCAATCAAAAATGAAAAACACGAAGTTCCTACAGAATCTTCAGAATATACAAAATATTTAAGTGGCATCTTAAAAAATTTGCTCCATTTTCTTATATGTAGTAGTAGGTACCAAATGTCAAGAAAATGGGAATTTTTTTCTAAATGATGTTTTCTGGTCATGTGGGAAGCTTTCTGCCGGTATCCTCGAAGCATTATCGTACAGGATTACCTTCTGACTCTTAAAACCGCTGCTTTAGGACTGTTTCATCTCCTCCCCAATGTTCTCCTCCTATCATTAGATCACTTGCAATGGTGGGGTGATGAGCCATGGAACTGGTTCTCCATAAACTAGTTGCGCTCAACAAAGATTTTTATTATGTTCGGCTCTGCACCTGCTTGCCTACTTACTTTCTCCTCTGACTTTTTTTTACTATACTGTAATACCCACTGGTTTTACGGCGTAGGTGGAAAGCCCAGTGAGCCTGGGTTCAATTCCCGTATAATGGATTCACTTGTTAGGTCTCGGTATCCGTATGTTCAAATCACAGACATCTTTTGGATTTTGTCGGGGGAAGGGAGACAGGAAATTGGAGTTCCACAGGGTTTCACCAGATATAGCAATTGACGTAGTGATGTTTTCAATCGGAAGAATACTAGCTGTGAGATTCGCTCGGTCTTCCTGGATTAGAAGCGACTTCACATGAGTGTGACTCCCATTTTCCCCATATCAACAATAACAAACTGGAAACTGTTCCCGTGACACTTCAACCTGCTCAGGGATTTTCCTTTGGGAAAAATCGCTAACCTCCCGATATTCATTCTATGCAAATGAAATTTCACGAAGAGAAATCAAATAAAATCTGAGCTCATGTAATATGCAGGTGCAAGGGCAGCTCACCTACGGCTCGATAAAGAGCTGACCACGTCACTGCGTGAATTATGGCTGGAACCTATAGCAACCCCTCTTGGAAGACACCCTTTTCGCAGGCAGTGAGCCACTTCAGAGTTCACAAAAAAGGGTAAGAACTGTCTTTTCGTTGAACGGACTAATCTGCAGCAGAGCTCTTTAGTCAAGAATCGGACTTTTAAAGCCTTTGGGAGAAAGGCCGAAGTGGGTGGGAGGCAGAGAAGGGAAAGAGAGGGTTGGTGTTGAATCAAAGCGATGGTTCTAATCATCATTAAAGTTTTTCTATACTTGCACGAACTTTATTTCCTTGCCCTTGATTTAGGTGATAGTGAATGGGCAGGATTACAGAGCAGACCACCGCAATTGAAGCAAATTTAAAAGCACTTCGAAATTCCACTTTCCACAAGGTCAATCCAAAATGCTGATGTGGTGTAGTGGCAAATGGCGCACTTTACAAATGGGTTTGGTGAGGGGTTCAAAGCTGATCGATATCCGCCCAGGGTCAGTAAGCCAGTACAATTCTGAATGGAGGTTTGGGCGCATCCCTCAGACGGTATTGATTAACCGAAGACTTCAAAACTCTGAGGTCAGTCCCGCTCTCAAAATACAAGCGTGAACTCATCACTCACGACATGCTTCACTGCATTTTTTTTNTTTTTTTTGAATATTTTTTTAGAAATCAATAAAAACCCAAGACTACCTAGCATGAAGCAGGTGAGAGGTAATGTCGAACGTCTAGCACAATAGGTAGAAATAAATATTTCATTGTGGTTCCACCGCAAGTCGAACTTACTTCGTTTGGATTATTTCCAGTTCAATTGTTCTACTGCTAATAAACATTTGCAGAACACCTGAAGAAAGGCGCTACACCACTCCTGGTAAACTGCTGGTATTACGCTCGGACCATATTCGCAGGGATACATCGAGGGAGTAGCACCTATTGCTGATGAACCTTCGATGGTAGGGGTATGGCCTATAGTGCTTAGGAACTCGATCTCAGCCCTGCCTCTGTGCCTGGAAAGCGTCCGAGGGGATGTCCAAGACAGCGCTTTTGTGATGTCTTGCATGAAAACTTGAAATTGGTCGGCCTCTATCCCGTTCTGGCATTTAATCAGGGGAAGTGGCATCATTACACTAGAAAAATGATCCATACTTTCAAGTGGGACGCTGGAGAAGAAGAAAAAGAAGAGAATGATGATGAAGACAAGGGAAGGCGTCAGTGCGATCTGGTTGAACTTTGGTCCCATCCGAGAGTTAAAACGATATTTCATTCAGGACCATTATCTCATGGTCCCCCCATGAAGATGAGCGAATGTGCCGGACCACTCTAAAAAGGAATATGATTGGGTCAAGACCACCACACTTCGAGCGTTAGAAAAGCTTAACTTCCGAGCCTAATCTCCGCAGAACTGATCCAAGAGTCACAAACGCGTCGGGCGTACCTATGTACAGGCTTCTCAGATGGGAGCATTGGGTGCAGAGATCATGAAAAGGTTCAAAGTGGCTTTCCGATAGTCTCCAGTCCTGAAATCGGAATGACAGTTCCATGGAAACGAAACGTTCAGCAAATTCGAAATCATAGTTCATACGGGAAAGATGAGGGTGGGCCATTAGGGGAAGGAGTTTGTACACTCCCTCAAAGAATGCAGCCATGGTGCCGATACCAATTTAGTCACTATGGTACCATAAGTGATAGACAAGTCCAAGGCTTGCAAGTGCCCTAGCACGGTTCAATGTCTCCCGCAACGGCTCAATGCCCCTTGATATACTCATCGAAGTGGTAGGCAACTACTTTTATGATGGCTATCCAGCCAGCCTTGTTGCTGAGTTGATTTGTGTGTAGCTCAGTGGCTTTAAACATTTACGATGCCTGAGGACTACTTTCATCTTCGGGCAGTCCATGGAGTGTCTTCAGGGAGACGTTAGTTACAACAGCTCCTCAAAGGCGAATTGATAAATAATCAGTTGATTTCATCATGGCTATGAAAGAGCTGTTTATATTTAGATGTTTTCCGCATTGTTTTTGTTTTCCAGTCATTTTATTGATTCGGAATTGGTTGTAAAAAATTTCGTTGTCCATTCGACTATAAACTAGGATGATCCAATAGTGGCCCTAATTTGGTTGTCGGGTTCGGAGATTCATTTCGGTCCAAAAGGGGGCTGAGAAAAGGATTAAAATACTCCATAACTCTTTTTATGATCGATTTTCTGTTTCGAATTTGATCAATTGGGTAAAAAGGGATATTTTCTCAAAGGGGTCACGACTTCGGCCTAGAAAAGATGAAACAGAACAAAACGAAGGAGAGCGCCTGTATGAATGCCTAGCACGTGGTCATTGCCCCAGCCCGAAATTGAACCTTTGATGACTATAATACCATTATTAGTACGATTACTAGTCATCCCATTCCAAAAAAAAGGACAAGTTGACCAGCATCCGATGAGAATCTATACCTCACCACGTGGTAGGATCGTGTCGGGCATAGTAAAGTTCTAGCAAGGCCATCCGGCTGTTGTCCTTCACCCGCCCCCACTCTCGAAGTGGTATCTTGGGTAGCCCTTCACATCCCTCTATCTGATGGGCTGATTTTCATAGGTGAGAGATGATCTTTTGCTTGATAGGTCAACAGATGAAATCGTCGGATAAAACTCGGACAATTCCTCTCTCACTAAGACGAGAATAAACTGCTTAGTTGATCTGGGGAACGACTTAGATTTTTTATTAGCTCGCGAAGAAAGGCTTCCAGCTGCTGTTCGCCTTCATTACTAAGCTGAGGTTATGAGATTGCTCTATTAGTCTTTTCCTGGATCAACTCAATCCAGATTCCGTTAAATGAGATCAACGCTGAATGAGAAAACTCTCGAGGATTCCCACAACAGAGTTATGTCGATTCAAATAAACCTTTCTCTCTCTTACGAGGAGGTTTTTTTTATAGGTCACAACAAATCTGAATGGAAGTCGAATACGGGGTGCATTTCAAAAATGGGATAAGTTAGCACCAAAAGTTTTCGGGCTTACCATGGTTCATGAGCTTCCTTTGAAAGGATGGCTCCACCAGTTGGTTGGAGCGATGGGCCGTTAGTGTTTTTACCTTGCACCTCTTCAACTAATCTGTTGTACTTCTGAAAACGGCCACTTCCCACCCAAAATAAGTAGAGCATATGCATCCTACGTTCTGTAGGAATTAAATGGAACTGATAGGATGGTGCTGGTCATAGGGTTCATCTGGAAGGAGCTGATCCGCTCCATCCGCTTTATCCCAGTTGTTGTACTACGATCATCTCAGCAAATACTAGTGTTCTCTATTTCCTTCAAATACACTCAGGCTTTTGTGGGTAATGCCTCTTCGTAGTGTCCAGCTTCAGAAATAGCCATGCCTAGATTGTTATGACATGGCCCCTTTGTTGTTTCCAGCAGATGTCGTGGGTGTGATTTGCAGGGAGTGTTTTGCAAACGTACTCCCAGAAGATTCATAATGAAGTATGAAGAAAGACCAGAGGAATCTTCGCCGGATGTTTCTCTACGAGACTTTCTAGTTGTGGAAAACCTCACATCATCACAGCTTACATTGTTGACTATAGGAGCAGACGAGGAACTGAATACCCCGTGAAAGAAGGGCTTCGTATTGGTCATGGCCATGAACGAGAAGCCGTATTGAAGCCTTACGTGAATCAATTAAATGCCTGAACTAGAAGGACCGGTGTCAACAGAGATCGATGGACAAAAGGACATTTTAGTCGGTGGACA